TCAATTTATCATTTAGATTCATTTTTATATACAATTACACAATTAGAAATTGTTATAATTATATAATTAAAAATTGTTTTAGTTATATAATTTATAAATCTAAAATAATATAATCAATTTATCATTTAGACATTTTTACATACAATTATACAATTAAAAAAATTGTTCTAGTTATATAATTTATAAATATAAAATAATATAATCAATTTATCATTTAGATTCATTTTTACATACAGTTACACAATTAAAACAATTGTTCTAGTTATATAATTTATAAATATAAAATAATATAATCAAATATTATATATTATTGTGAAGTATACTATCATAGTTCTTATAAAAATCAATTAAACAACTTGAGTATGGTGTTTTGTAAAATTGGATGAAGGGGTGACTCATTGGAAATCCATGTGTGTGTTTTTTGTTTGAAGGTATCAATAGAGAAATAATTCTAATTTGTTATAATTCTTCTCGTTGGATAATTTGTTTAAAAAATGATGAAACATCTAAAGTATCTTTTCCACATTTCTCTCATTATCTCGTTAGTATCTTTTCTTTATCTTTCTATTCGTTTATTAATCCCATGCAAATTATTAGTTTAACCTTTCAGATATGACGAAAGCAGTAGTAGTTGCATTACCATCACGATAATATTTGTCAACGTGTGCTCGTATAAATGAAAATAAATTTCTATGTGAGAAAGTTTGAAACGCCATATCAAAGCAATACGATGACATTTTCCATGATTTTTCCCCCAATGGAATATAACTTTCTTAATAATTAATAATTAATATAAGTAAGATAATAATTAATATAAGATAAAAATTATATATAATAAATAAAGATAATAATTAATATAAGATAAGATTAAAATATAATAGAAGTAAATACTATCTCTTATAGAACATTTTTTTCTTTTTTATGTTTCTTTGTTGAAAACTAATACTTCAACCCCATATAATTCTTAGAAAAAAAAAAAAATTAAAATTATCTCCCATTGTTTTCGTATGCATCTTAAATTATTTACACACACCCTTTTCTTGATAATTATGATTATTATATTATTTTAATCATTGCAAAACATACATCAAAAACAAAACAAATGCATTCATAAAGGGTTGAACGTATAGGAACCATAGATTGAACGGAAACTATCCTAAAGATCCGAATGGAACGTGTTAATAATAAATTATTGTCTGTGATCTAGGTGTTACCACATGTTACAGATGTTCAAAGTGTTAACCACTAACAACGAGACATTATCTGAAATGTTTATCCACAGATTATGTTACACCTTTAAGTGTTACCTAATCGATAATGAAATACAAGCTTGTCACATGTTTATTCCTAAATAGTATTCTCTAAAATAATTGTTACATCACTATATAGATTTTCTATCAATTTATTCTATTAAAAGAATATTTAACACTGTGTTAAATTTAAACTGATTGTAATGGTCATTTACAAGTTTTCCCATGTATTCAATAATTTTATATTACACATGGTTATTTTAGTATTTACCATATGTTTCTAACATTTTGTTAATATCACACGTGGTTTGTTAAATATGTAATAGAATATTTTTTATAATATATACAAAT